GCAAGGATTAACATAGTAGCCTCTTAATCTTTTTTGTTGTTCAGAACTGGCTAATTATTTTGACCATTATTTGGCTCAGATGTGTTCTAAAGGCTCTCAGCTGGGTTTATCTGATAGCAGAATTGTGACTGCTACACCTTGGAGTGAGGGGATGATTGGATTTTGCTGCAGGCTTATGTTTTTCTGAAGTATGATGGACTAGCAACTGCACTTCAATTATTTAAGATTCTTGGATAAGTAATTATATTGTAAAGCTTCAGAATTCTTCTTAAGACAAATGCTGCTTTATTTACCTTCTGATACCTAATTGAGAGAACAGTTTTTTAAAAAGCAGGAAACGCATATCCTCAGTATGAATAAACTTTCCTGTGTTTCATTTGATGTGCTGCTTAGTACAAGCAGCAAACTAAAAGAGAAATGCTAAGAAAATTGCAATGGTTTTTAGTGATAAGCAGCCAAGTAAGTATCACATGCTAGTAGCTTTGAAGGTGTTGATTTAGAGAGTTTCAATTACATTTCTGTGATTTACTGTGCTTATGTGTCACTTACACACATACCACGTATGCTTTGTGAAACTCCTCATACAGTGTTTCAAGTGGATTCAGGGGTCCTGAGCTTTTCTATGTACCAGTGTCCAGTACCTGTGCTTACACCTGCCTGGGCTTCAGATGTCGTTTCAATGGCAGGTGAATCATTTACTGCTTTGGCAGCCTGGATTTTACTGGGTCTTTGTGCTATTCAGTCCTGCTCATAAATCCTCAGCTCATGGAGCTATGTTATAGCACAGTCTGAACTTCGCTGGCGTTCCTTCCTTTTGCTTTCTAAATGCATTTTCAACTTCTATAGTTGTGAGAAAGGGCTATAGAACATCAGTTTTAATAGCTTTGCAGAAAGTGAAATTAAGAACAAATGCACTTTCTTTAATGTTTTCTGAGATTAAATATGTAATTTTCATGATTTGGGAGAAGAACACTGGGATCATTTAATGTTTTTGCTTGGCAGTATCCAGTTGTAAGTGAAGGACTGCGGCAGGCATGTTGAAGGAAATGACTGGAGAAGACAACATCTATGGGGCGCTCTGTTGTAGTGTGTCACCAGAAGCTTAGATTTGCACTTGTGGTGGAGCGTAGCAGAATGTATGGGTGTTAGCTGCCAACTCTTTCAGGGCCTTCACGTTTCATCGGATGAGTCTGACTGACTTCAGTGGGGACTGCATGGAGCAGCCAGACCTGGGCACGTTGGAGCATCTCTTGTTGCTCTGGTTATCATTCCCTGAAATGGGGTTATTTTGTATACTCTTCTGTCATGCTGCACATGTCTCCATTCCTTCCCAGTGACTTTCCCGTCTCCACTTATAGTCAAACCAGCCAGCGCTATGGTAATGAGTCCTTTTTGACTGTCAGCCTGTGTGTATTTCCATTTACACTGCTGGCACTTTGCTATGAAGCTTCTCCCCTTCTGTCCAGATAAATTACTGGCATGATGAGATCTGTCTCATTGTTCACAATAGCGCTGCTCTGGGTTCTCCAGGTCCTCCTTCCTTACCCAGTTTATTGTTCATTTTGCAAAGGGCTCTTTCAAAGTTTGGTAGATGTAACTTGAAATAATCCTCATTAATTGTTGTATGAATCAGAGAATCAAAGGAAAAGAAGAGAAGTCGTATATTTAATTGCACAAGCTACCCTGTGGAGGGGTCTAGCTAACCTATTGGCCTCTCGTTATGCAGTAATTTATATTCACATTAATCTTGACAACTGGCATTTTGTCTGTGTTAGCTGGGATCGTTTAAACTTCTGTAGCAATTTATAACATAGTTGTTTATCACTGGTTCCAATCATCGAGATACATGTGTAATACGGAAGGGTTTGCTTTTGCTGCTGCTGCTGCTCTGGGCTCTGCCTGCAGCCTCGCGATGGCCAGGTGTCTTCGCAAGTTGCTCATTAAGCACGTGGAAGATTAGTTTAATCAGCTTGCTGAGTCGGGACCTCCTGATGAATTCCCACCTTTCCTCGTTTGCACAAAGCTTATTTGCCAGCCCTGCAGCTGCATGAGAAGGAATGGGTTTGCTGCTCACAGCCAAGGAAGCCCTGATGCCAACAACTGGTGGAGTAATTCACTGAACCAGGAATTCCTGATCACAGGAAGTTTCTTACAGAAAAATGATCACTTTTCTTAATTAGTGTCATTCCCTGAAGGGGTCTATGGTCTGCTTTCTGCTGGAGCTGAATGGGTCACTAAAGACTTTTCTACCTAAAAAGCTAACAAAATTTCATCCTTTTCTATAAATCTTGCTCTTGCCGTATTTTGTGTACCTCGACCACCATAGCGGGAGATAGGATAGAAGCCTGGAACATGTTCAAGGCCTAAGAAATGTGTATTTGAAGCCAGTGAATACTTTTTTTTAAATTTCATTTTAATCTGATTCTGCTTGTCACTTAGAGCTAATGATTTCACCTAAAAATGAACAAGACTACTTAGATTCTTGATTTTGCGAGAGTTGTATCTTAAATCGAGAATCTAGAACAAAACTGGAGGAAACAATTTTCCTAGTGCTATAAGGATCATATTTAATAATGTAGACAAATGGGTTTGCATCTCTCTCAAACTGAGCAGCACTGTTTGCCAACAGAAGCTGGTAGTCTGAGCTTTATGAATTTTAAGCTGCTAACTGTAGACCTGTTTTCTTATTTACTTTTATTAGAGTGATCCAGAAACTGTAGGTTCAAAACTTTCAGTCTAGAGAATGTGTGCAGCAACAAACTGGAAACTGTGACTTGCCATTTAGTTCACTTTCATATCTGTACTATGGCTTTCCTCTCACAGATAGACCTCTTAGTGAACATTAAAGCTACATGGATGTTGAAGGAATAATGAGGTTCTAATGAAGTGAAAAAGGAAGATTTTGTAGCAAAGAAAAACAATCAATTCATTCCTTAATAACATATGCAGTTAATTGAAAAAAAAAAAACAAAACCTTCTTTAAGCAATTTAATATGTCTATGTTTATGTAAAATAATACCTTTTTTTAGCCACTTTCAGTAGGCTCAAATGCTCTTTTCCAGGCCCTAGCTTCCTGGTAATAACGACATCAGTAAAACAGCCCAAGCTGGTGATTATATTAAAAGAAGAATATAATGGTACAAAAGAAAAAGACTGTGGCTTCATTTTTCCATTGATAAATTTAGAATTTGCAAAAGCTGAAGTAATAGTTGTAGTGATGAAAAGAAATGTAATTTTATACTTACCCGCTGTTCTAAAAAAAAATGCATATAATTATTGTGGGAGGAAGAAAAATACATCTCTCCCCCTCATTCTTCTGCTTTTTCCCCCCTTCTTTTTAGTGTTGAAATGATCCAGTTTAATTAAATCACCAACCTATTTCTGCACAAAGGATGACATTTCATTAATGATGTAAGATGTGCATGAGACAGAATTAACCCAATTTTCAAATGGATTTCAATTTGGAAAGGGCAGCATGTAAAAATGTCTGGTAAATGTGTGGGCTGAGCTTGTTGAGCAGCTTTCTGAAGGAGATGGGATTATAAAATGATGAATAATTAGACAACAGTCCTTCCACCTGCCCAGTTTCTAACGTCTTTGGAATTCCAGTTGACCACAATTTAGGTACCTGACGTGGTACATCAGGGATATATGAGATAGACGAGATAGGTGAGAAGAATTGCAAATTGTTAATAAGCTTTTCTCTTGTTTTCTGCAAGAAGAGCAGATCGTCTGCCTCGTTGTCCTTCCTGAGGTTTATCTGTGTGTGTTAGAGGTCCACTCTGCAATGCAGCTCTTCTTGCTCTGAATGTAGAAATGCCTTTCTAATTTTACCTTTTGCTTTTCTAATTTTAGAATTCATAGGTAAAGTGGATATTCTCAAGGTGTGGGGTTTGTTTTCATGAAGAATCAGGGAAAGAAAACTTTGCTTCAGTTTCCATAGTGCCAAAACTTAACTTCTTTCAAAACAGTTCTCAAAAATCATTAACCTCTGAGAACAGGGTGTTGTGGAAGAGATTTGAAACAGACCACAGAAAATCCATTGATAATCTGATAAGATAAATCTGCCCTCCAGAAGTGTGTAATTGTATTTTTGCAGCCCTTACATAGGGGTAAGGGGGTAAATACACTAATTCTTGCATTAGGAGACAGATCTTTAGGGGTCAGGCTGTGACGTTCAGAATGAGTGAGCAATTGAAAGTATTTCCATATTCCTATTGACACAAAAATGATCATACAGTGATTTTTGCTAAGATCTGGATTAAAAATGGGATTGTTTTGCTTCTATTAAGACCAAAGGCTTGAGTGGTAATTGTAATGAAGTAAGGGCCAGAGGTGCCAGCTGCCTGCATTCATGAAACTCAAATTCCTGACCCAAAAGAGCAGCCACTACATAACAACAAGATTTGCCAGCGTAAATATCCTGCCCTTCTGCTTAGAACATCAATCAATCTTCACTACTTGCTTAGGAATGAGGGGAGGTAATCTTCTGCAGCAAGTGTGGGAATAGGGAGAGAAATGTGTTTTGGAATTGAAGGTTGATATGAAAGGAACCTTCTAGGGCATTTAGGCAAAAAGCTGGTGTAAGATGAAGTGCATGCTTTATAGATGGAGTATGGAGAAATAAAATCAGACTGAAGGAGTATTGAACAAATTTAATTTAGCCTTGTTACTGGAATAAGGCATTTTCAGGAGAAATTCAGAGTTGCTGTCCTGCCCATGTGGAGCAGGAAAAGAGCTGGAAGTCAAGGTCATGGTTCACTCCTGGAATTTAGGGGCATGGTGGAAAATTTTGTTTTGAACTTGATTTATTTCTAACCATACAAGATGATGCATTTTGTTCTTCTGTAGGTATTCCTTTGATTTTATTTTTCCCCTTTTACTATGGCTGCGGTTCAATTACAGTGTCCCGCTGGTGAGCACGTTGTGTTGGCTTCTGTGTGGAAGACAGGACTGAACCATGCCCGTGCTGGTCTTAATGGTCTTTTTCTCTCTTTCAGAAAAAGGAATGAAGAAAATGAGCAACATCTATGAATCAGCAGCCAATACCCTGGGAATTTTTAACAGCCCATGCCTGACTAAAGTGGAGCTGCGAGTTGCATGCAAAGGCATATCAGACAGGGATGCCCTCTCAAAACCAGATCCTTGTGTTATCCTTAAAATGCAGTCGCATGGCCAGTGGTTTGAGGTGAGTATTTAATACAATCAAAAGTATTCTACTGATGCTTTAGAGTGATGGAGACAAACTGAGACAAAATTCAAATGGTGGAAACAATAAAGAGAAGCAGCAATTTGAAGCCTGTGGCGTAATCTTGTAAGAGTGAAAAGAGACTTTCCATTAACTCTAACACACTTTGAATCAGACTCTTAATGACACTTAGAGCTTCTCTTTGGAGCCTGGATTAAAAATGAAGATGATCAAAGAATGAAGCGTTGTAAAATGTTTCCTTTTAGGCACTCATGTTTCATAAAAGCTGTATAATAGCAGAGATAATGATAGTGACCATCATGCATTCCAGCCTAAAGAAGAAGAATGTTGTATAAAGAGACATGTTTATTACTAGTTGGCAAGGAATTTGATGACAGAGTAGCTTGATTTGCAAATTTCGAGCATTACAGCTGGATTCACACTTGAAGTTAGTACTTAAACTAATGCGTTTGCCTTATCAATTTGCCTTGTATTGCAGATTGCATGTTTGATTGAAATCCTACTTTGTGTTGCTTTACCTAATCTTAGAAACCATTTGATTGATAAATGGAAACACAATGTCTTAGAGATGTGCAGACTGTAAATTAAGAACATTAGAATGGAATGTAGTCTTTTAAATGACATCTGGTTGTTTATTTTATTTAAAAGTTACACGCAAGTGCTAGTGGTTAATCAAGCTAAAATATGTGGAAAAAATAGGAAGTAATTATTAATCCAGTTAATTTTGAGTATTGATCCTTCTCTTTTCAATGCTTTCAGCATTAGAATAAGATCATGTTATCTATCAGAAGATAAAAATAATAATAGCTGTGAGCACATGAAGAAAATAAATCATGAATTTAGGATTTTAATTTAGCATTTTCAGTCAAATTTTGTAAGGCTTTGGGGATTTTGTTCCAGTTATTCCAACTGTGTGGTTTTGACCTATGGACCTCTGAGATTTTTCCAGTGCTGCTTCAGCACCAGCATAGCAAAGTGAAGGTTTTGGGGCAGTATTCTTCCGCTTTTCTTAGCTCACTGCTGTGGGACCATTAGATAGGTCCCTGGTAGAAAATCAGTCTATGAGCAGAAAAAAAACCTCTCACGATTCTCCTGGTGCTACAGATCTGTGTCATAGAATCATAGAATAGTTTCAGTTGGAAGAGACCTTAAAGATCATAGAGTCCAGCTTTTGTCCCAGCCCTATCAACCTACTAAACTATGCCCCCAATGCAACATCTAGTCATCTCTTAAACACTTCCAGGATCAGTGACTCAACCACCTCCCTGGGCAGCCCCTTGCAATGGTTGACAACCCTTTAAGTAAAGAAATTCCTCCTAATATCTAACCTGAATCTCCCCTGGCACAATTTAAATCCATTTCGCCTTGTCCTATCACTCTCCACTAAGGAGAACAGACCAATCCCCACCTCTCTACAACCTCCCTTCAGGTAGTTGTAGAGAGCGATGAGGTCTTCCCTCAATCTCCTCTTCTCTAGGATAAACAGCCCCTGATCTCTCAGCCTTTCCTCATAAGACTTGTATTCTAAGCCCTTTACCAGTTTGGCAGCCCACCTCTGTACCCTCTCCAGCACCTCAGTGTCCCTCTTGTAGTGAGGGGCCCAAAACTGGACATATTACTTGAAGTGAGGCCTCACCACAGCTGAGTAGAGGGGCATGATCACCTCCCTGCTCCTGCTCACTATGCCGTTTCTGATCCAGGCCAGGATGCCATTGGCCTCCTTGGCCAGCTGGGCACACTGCTGGCTCATGTTCAGCTGGCCACCTATTAACAGCCCGAGGTCCCTCTCTGCCTGGCAGCTCTCCAGCCACTCCTCCTCAAGCCTTCATGTCATTGAAATGTAAGATGATATAATAACCCAAAAACAGGTATTCCCAGCTAGCCATGTAGGAAGGACCATTGAGCTGCACTTATATGTAATCACTGAAATAGTAGGAATTAACCAAGCAATGGATTAAAGGTCAGAAGTGAGACCCCCCTGTTGGGAAAGGGCAGGCTGAAATCTTTTGGGCCATTTTCAGTTCTGTTTGTGAGTGCATTTCACACAGTTTATCTGTGGCCAGTTGTGAGCAGGGTAAGTGGCTTTAAAATATGCATTCTGGTATTGTAATGGAGATTCCCTTTACTTGGTGTAGGTTTTAATTTGGAAAGTGATTGATCTGAATAGAGCAACTGTTGCAGAACAGATCAGCTCACTGATACGATTCTCATCTTAGCTCAGTTGCTCCTACTGTTTAATGAAAGTCTAGGGTTTTCATTTCAGTGTGAACAGAAAGTTTTTTATTAGTTCACATTCCTGTCAGCGCCACGGAGCTAATACAGCTCTGACATGATGATTTCCTATTCCAGCCAGCACATTCTCAACAGAATTTTTAATTAAGTTCCAGTTGCTGAGCTAAATTGAACAGAGTTACTCAGGTATAGCTGAAGACATAATTTGACTGGGATAATCTTCTGGTGATGACAACCAATGAACCAGCAAGACCTGAGACAGAGAGAGTCTAATAATTTAAAAATAAATAAATAAATAAATCTAGTTGTCATTGAAGTGAGTATATTTGACTTAGAAATGACTAAATGGCAGCCTAAGAGTTATGCATTTAGAGACGCTGGAACGCAAGGGATTCACTCTACGGATGCAGGCGATCCCTGACAGGGAGGAATCTCTGCATATTTGTCGCCAGGAAAATTTTCATAAAATATGTCAGGCTGTCGCTGAGGAAATAAATCATTATGTTTTTTCAGTTCTGCAGTACTGTGTGTGCATATGTGTGTGTTTGTATAAATTATGCCACCCGCACATATCTATAGAATGAAAATATCTGTGCTGTTGTAGAGTGGGTAGGTGCTGTTTCCAGAGATTGGCAAGGGCATATATATGTGGGGGAGGGGAAATCCATTTTTTTTTAAACGTGGTGGATTTTCTGGTTTTATTGCTGGTTTGTGTTTTTTTTTTTTTCTTTTATTTGGTTTTGGTGTTTTGTTTTTACAGAGGTTCCCCCATAGACAAGTCCCTATGTGTGCCATTGTGCACACATACCTGCCCTCCTCATTTCTCTGTGGATGTATGTTGATGCTGTGCGAAAAGCACTATCTTCACCAATCTAGAATTAAAATGATATAGTGGGTCTCCCAGGAAAATCATCGGTTTATGCTTTCTCTCATATCAACTTTGTATTTTTAGGCTGCTATGACGGGGGGGATATAGCAGAATTTAAGATTGTGCTGTCCATGTGTACTAGAAGACAATTTGAAGTCTTTGCCTGTATTTGTTTTTCCCCATGGTCCTCTAATTCCAGTGACCTTCTCCTTCCTCTGCCCCCCACCTGCCCCAGCTCCGGTTTCCATTCCCAGCATCTGGTGCCTCATTCTGCTCCTCTGCATGTTGAAGGGTGCGGAGATTCCCTGCCCCTTCCCAGCATGGGAGAAGGATCTGAAGGGAAGACCTTTGGGCAGAGTTCAGTTCCTTGTTTCTATAGATACCCAAAAATCTCTCTCGTTTTTCCATCCATGGCTGTTACAGCCCACCACAGAAACCAACAAGCCATGAAATGGGAGAGTCTGTGAGTTGACATCTTCCATGACTTGACAAAACTGTTTCAAAATAACTACAAAAGCAAAGGGGGGGAATAACATATGTGTGTGTTCATTTCTCAAGGAGTATTCCTAGAAGATGATGCCGAAGAGTTTTTCAGGTGTCGTTAGATACCACTTGTTCTAACACATCAGACAGAAAGCTGTGACCACCATAGCGCTGTGTCTGTGCATATGCCTTTATAGCCTGTTGTATCCTCATAATTCAATATTGCACTTCTTTCTCCTTTTTTAAGTGTGTGTATTGATGCTAATGAATGCCTCTTTGCTCACTAGTGGCAACCTCTGTTGCTGCCAAGATTTACTTTCAGCTTCTGCTTTCTGCTGCTGGTAAGCTTCCCTGAAGTCTCTCTTTATGGTGGGAATGACAAAGACAGCTCATCTTCTTCAACCACACTGGAAGTCTGTGGGGTCAGGCTGCAGGCTAATTGAATATTTTATCTCGGCCCATTCTTAGCCTGAATTAGTGTAATTGGATCTTTGACTTTCCAAATGTACTATTTTGGAGGCATCCTGTGTTTCAAGTGTTTGCCAGTTGAAGAGCTCCTGTCATTAACTCTTTCAGGAAAAAGACAAGTTTTCCACATGGAAGGAATCTACTGTGAAGTTTTCCTCTGCATTGTGCTGACCATCTTTCATAATATTCCATTCAGCTCCTGATACACGGAATACATTTCTACACACACATGCATAAACTCAAAACCTGGAATTGCATTTTATATTACTGTTCCTTTTAAAAAGGAAGACAACTCTCTTCCTCTCCCGGGTCTTTCCCAACTACTGATGCAGTCAGGAGTGAAAACTAATCTTTTGTGTTGGCAAATACTTTATTAGAAGCTGGCCCTGGGAATTTTTTCCTCCTGTGCCTAGTTCAGAAACATGAACAGCATTAAGTTTTGATGAGATTTTTCTTTTTACACCCCAGGTAGTAATAAATGTGTATTTATTTTAAATCCATTGAATAATAACTCATTTTTTGCTTTTGTCTCATCCATCACTGCTGCTTTCTCTTGAGCCTACTCCTTGTCTCAGCATTTAAACGCAGCCACAGCACTACTTTTCCCGTGTTTAAAAATCAACCAGTCTTTAAACTCGAACTCATTTGAATCAGACAGATTGTCTCAACTCAAGTCAAATACTGTCACGTTGAGTCGATATATATATGCACTATCATCATGTTCCGCTAGCTCAAACAGCAATTTCTCCTCCTGCAGTGCAATTTGTGGAATGTTTTGCTTGTGTGAGGGAGAGAAAGGCAGACCCTGAAGGAGGGGAAGAGGAACTTGGCATTGCAGAAGTCTCTGTTCTTGCCAGGAGTGCTTAGTGTGAGACCCTTGGTCCTGCCTGTCCAGCTAAATCTCTTCAGGTCCTGCTGTCTTTGTGTC